CAAAATGCAAAGAACAAGTTCTCCAAAGCTTTATTTAATTTGGAACATTTCAAATTCTAGCTGTGACAATTAAGATTAAAACGTAATAAAGTTGTCTCAAGTGATCAAGTGTTCTAGAAATATCGCGTTCGTGATTGAAAAAGTCATACAAATGTCGTTTTATAAACAGTTATAGTAACCGTTAATCAGTTATCAAATATAAGGAATTAAAGAGAAWTGGGTTTATTTATCGTCTAAATAGAGAAACGTGTGTTTCTTTTCTCATCCAGTGTAGTGCTCGTACAAAACCAAGTTGTTGAGTCGTCGTTTTTAACAGTGTCGCGTTCGAGTTCGTTGAAATTTTTTCCATAAATATTGATTTAAAAGCCATAAGATTTCATCGAAAGTGATATATATTATTAGAGCAGATTGATATATCTTTCGTATCTTTCTTTGAGGCGTTTTATTTTCTGTGCGAAATGACTATCCATCGATATGAGAATTGTGRGAACGGCCCGAAACTTCGGGCGAAACGACTTGTGCGAACGGTCTCTTGTGCGAAATAACCTGATACCCTTTGGTTACATAGTTGCTCATCTCTTCTAATTTTTTGGTTAACATATCATGCTTGCTTGTCATATCATCGTTAGTCTCCCAGCCAAATTGGTTTTCAACCTTGTTAATTTCCTCCTCGATTTGTATGTAGCAATGTCTTCTTTTCTTAGCATTTTGTTTTGAAAAGTGTATTGAAAATTTCCTTATTTCATATTTTAATAGCTCCCAACTTTGCTGATGGTCACGAATGTTTTGAACATACAATTGTGTCTTGACCGATTTTATATGATTTCTCAAACCTTGGACATATCCTTCGTTCGCCAATAAAGCATTATTAAATTTCCAAAATGAAGGTCCTCTAGTTTCTCCCTCAAAAGACTGCAATTTAATAGTAATAGCAGAGTGATCGGTTGATGGGGCTGGAATAATATCACTTTTKARGATAAAAGGTTGAAGTTCATCTGATATAAAGAAATAGTCCAACCTGCGATGAATCATTTGGTTAGGTCTACTGGCTGAGCCCTGCCCTATTCCTTTCCAAGTAAATCTTTTAGAATCAGGATTTCTTAACCTCCAAATATCGCATAAATCA